ACCAGGTCCCCCCCAGGTAGACCCCCTCCCCCCTCAGGGTCCTGCCCCTTCAGGTGTGTCCCAGGTAGACGCAGTCGAGCCTGTCGAGGTCACTGGTGACTCTGGTGCTGCTGAGGGTGCTGAGGCTGGGGGTGCTGTACCTGGGGGTGCTGAGCCTAGGGGTGCTGAGCCTAGGGGTGCTGAGCCTAGGGGTGCTGAGCCTGGGGGTGCTGAGCCTAGGGGTGCTGAGCCTGGGGGTGCTGAGCCTGGGGGTGCTGAGCCTGGGGGTGCTGAGCCTAGGGGTGCTGAGCCTGGGGGTGCTGAGCCTAGGGGTGCTACGTCTGGGGGTGCTGAGCCTAGGGGTGCTACTCCTGGGGGTGCTGAGCCTGGAGGTGCTCCGCCTGGAGGTTCTCCGAGTGCTTCGTCTCGCCGGGAGCCACTTTCTCCATAGGAGCTGCGTGAGTGGTTTGCCCGGCGCTGGAGGCGTGCTGCTGGTGCTGGAGGTCCTTCGGCTGCTGAGGGTGCTACGGTCGCGGGTCCCGGAGGTGCTCGTCCTGGGTGCACTGGAGCTGGTGCTGCTGAGGGTGTTGGCGCTGAGACTACCGCTGGCAGTCCTACTGGGGGTGCTCCTGGTGCTGCTGGAGGTTCTGGAGCTACTGGTGGTGCTGCTGGAGCGGGTGCTCCTGCTGAGGGTTCTGGTGCTGTCCCTGCTGCTTCTAGCGTCGCCGCGCGGCCTCGACCGTACTTCGTTCCACTCCTGCAGCAGGTTCTTGGTCTTCCACCTTCTACTGGTCCTCCTCCTCCCTTAGAGTGTCCACAGCCTGTCTCGTCCCAGCTACAGTTGCAGCCTACCTCCCCTTTGCCTGCTCCTTCTCCCTACACTGGTCCTACTGGAGGTCTGGCTGAGCGTCGTGAGCCTGCGTCTCGCCCTGCGTCGCCTGTCCGTGCTGCTCGCACTAGTGGTCGCGGTTCGCGTCAGCGTCCTCCTCCTGTCTCTGGCACGCACCGGATGTCTCTGCGTCCGTCCACTGCTCCTCTGCGTGCCCCTTTGCCTTCTCCTCCTGAGTCCTCTCTTCCTGCTCTTCCCGACCCGGAGTCGGACTCTCTTCGTGCTGCCAGTCCTACTGTCACGCGTCTCCTTACTACTGTTGTCACTGACCCTTCTTTCGAGTCTACTGCTGCGTCTGCTCTCGTTACTGAGCTCGTCGACTTTGCTGCTCGCTGTCGCTTAGACTACGCTGCTAGTCTTGTCGCTGAGTCTGAGTCTGTCTGTCCTCCGTCCGTCGGGGGTGAGTGTGCCCTTGGCACGGACGTCCTTGAGGACAGGCAGGAGGAGTTCCAGTGTCTGGCAGCTGCCTCACCTCATCTCGTGTCCGTACTGCTTACCCCTGAGGGAGACCCGGATGCACTTGACATCCCGACTCCGCGCTCTTACGCGGAGGCGATAGAGGGTCCCTACTCCTCTCAGTGGCAGGCAGCTATGGATGCAGAGATGGCTTCCTGGAAGTCCACAGGCACCTACGTTGACGCTGTCCCCCCTCCTGGGGCGAACATCGTCAGTGGCATGTGGATCTTCAGGGTGAAGCGGCCGCCGGGTTCTCCGCCTGTCTTCAAGGCGCGTTACGTGGCTCGTGGCTTCAGTCAGCGGCAGGGAGTTGACTACTTTCAGACCTTCTCCCCCACCCCGAAGATGACCACTCTTCGGGTACTGCTGCACGTTGCTGCTCACCGTGACTACGAGCTGCACTCTCTTGACTTCAGCACAGCTTTCTTGCAGGGCAGCCTGCACGAGGAGATCTGGCTGCGTCGCCCACCTGGCTTCACTGGGTCTTTCCCTCCTGGTACCCAGTGGAGTCTCCGGCGTCCAGTCTACGGTCTCCGCCAGGCGCCACGTGAGTGGCACGACACACTGAGGACTACGCTTGCGGCTCTTGGGTTTGCTCCTTCTACTGCCGACCCGTCGCTGTTTCTACGCACCGACACCTCTCTGCCGCCGTTCTACATCCTCGTGTACGTCGACGACTTGGTCTTTGCCACAGCTGACACTGCTGGACTCGCCTACGTGAAGTCCGAGCTGCAGAAGAGACACACGTGCACAGACCTGGGTGAACTGCGCAGCTACCTTGGCTTGCAGATCACCCGGGACAGAGCACGCCGCACCATTACCCTGACTCAGTCACACATGGTGCAGCAGGTCCTTCAGCGCTTCGGCTTCACGTACTCCTCGCCTCAGGCCACTCCTCTGTCTACTCGCCACTCGCTCTCAGCTCTGCCTTCGGATGAGTCCGTAGAGTCGAGTGGCCCGTACCCAGAGCTTGTTGGCTGCCTCATGTACCTGATGACCTGCACACGACCTGACCTTGCATACCCTCTTAGCATTCTTGCACGCTATGTTGCTCCTGGGAGACACAGACCAGAGCACATGGCTGCAGCGAAGAGGGTGTTGCGCTACTTGTGCAGTACTTCGGGCATGGGGCTAGTGCTTGGAGGGCGGAGTCCAGTGGTCCTCACTGGGCACGCGGACGCTTCTTGGGCTGACGACCAGGCTACGCAGCGGTCGTCACAGGGTTACACCTTCAGCCTTGGTTCCGGCTCTGTTTCGTGGCGGGCTACTCGCTCGTCTTCTGTTCTTGGCTCGAGTTGTGAGGCTGAGATCTACGCCGGGGCCATGGCTGCACAGGAGCTTCGCTGGCTCACCTACCTGCTGACCGACCTTGGAGAGCCGCCTCGTTCTCCTCCAGTCCTGTACGTAGACAACAAGGCCATGCTGGCCTTGTGTCGAGAGCAGCGACTGGAGCACAGAACAAAGCACATTGCTCTCCGCTACTTCCTTGCTCGTGAGCTACAGCAACGTGGACAGTTGCGGCTTGCGTACGTGGCCTCTGAGGCCAACACTGCTGATGTCTTCACCAAGGCACTTCCGCCTTGTGATCATCAGCGCTTCTGCACTCAGCTGGGTCTTGTGCCCGTCTTGCCTCACTTGCTCTCCTCTTGACCTTGCTTGTACTCTCACATATATATATACCTGCTCTTGCTTGTCTAGCTTTATATATATGTGTGTACTCTTGCATGTGAACTGGCCGTGTGGCCTTGACCCTGTGCTCGGACTGTGTGGTGACTTTGTGATCCACCCTGAGCTTGCTTTGCTTTGCTTTGCTTGACTGGTCTTGTGACCCCTTGTTCTCCCCCACTTTGCCTATGGGGGTGTGTCAGAACATTATAGCTTATGCTGTTGTGTAGGCTATAGTGGGGTATCCCATAGGGGGTACAACCAATTAGGGTTTCATATTTGTACTCACTTCATTTTCATAGTTCACCCATTCTCGTTCTCATTATCACATGGTCAGCTTCGTCTTGCTTACGTGGCCACACAGGCCAACACTGCTGATGTCTTCACCAAGGCCCTTGGGTCTAGTGATCATCAGCGTTTTTGCACTGCTCTTGGGCTTGTGCCCACTCTGCCTCAGCTGCTTGTCTCTTGATCTTGCCTTGCACTTGTTGTACTCTGAAATATATAATTCTACCTGCATGTGAACTGGCCTTGTGGCCGCTTGCTTGTGCTCAGAATGCGTGGTGATCTTGAGATCCACCCTGAGCTTTGCTTTGCTTTGCTTTGTTCTCTTGCTTGACTGGTCTTGTGACCGCTTGTTGTCCCCCACTTAGCCTATAGGGGTGTGTCAAATTATGCACTTATAGTGCTGTAGTCTATACTGGGGTACACTGTAGAGGGGACAACCCTTTTAGGGTTTACTACTTGTATCCCCATCCTGCATACTTCATTCATTCCTGTCTTCCTGTTCTGACAGTAATGGTTACCGTCGCGTTATAGTGCCCCATATAAGTTACCATTGACATATTTTCCTGTGAATCTGGACGTTGATTGGCCGCACAAAAAATCTTATACACATGATGCCCATTTGAGTCCCACATACTTGATCGGCATTTTGGGTGTTAAACGAAAACTGCATTTCGTGAACGCTCGTCAACACTCGCCACGGGCAAAAGAGGGCTTGTAAATAGCACATATTGTTTTACGTAACAGAGAAGGGTGGCATATTTTGTTGTACTCCGCGTTGCGAAGCAACTGCGGCTGTTTTGTTCCACACGTTGCCAGTTTGACGAACCGCCTTGCCTTTGCAAGTGCTCGGTGGGTCTGTAAACCGCAAAAGCCGCGGGCAACTGCCCGGTACAAAATGATCATGGGCAGAGATTCGGGTTTGGACAAAACAAATGTCCGCGCAACAGGTGAGCATCAGGCGTACAGTATCATATTTTTGGGAAGTCAAGTTACAATATCAAATTGAATGAAGCTACAAGCAAAAAAGGGAAAATATGTCAATGGTAACTTATATGGGGCACTATATGGGGTAATATCTTTCAAACTCAACAAATTGCTCGTAGTCAGGATCATTTAGGCAGGAGTTTCATTGAGTTACCATTCGCGTGTTCATTCGCCTGTGCCAAGTTACCAAATGCGTGAAACGGGTTACCAAACCCTTGAAAACATACCGTAATAGTTACTGTACGCGTTAAAGAGCCACTTTTTTGTTACCATTGGCATACTTAACCCAGATTCTCGTCTCGTCCGCTCTGTGCTGCCCGAACCGAAATCTCTCTACAGAATGTACAGAGTTGTACCACGGCTATAGTATTTATGAGGGCGCATTCTTGGCACGTGTCAGACACGAAGTTGAAGGTTCGGAAGACACAAAGTGAGTTAGTGTGTGTCTTCTGAACCTTGATTTGCCTGACTTTCTAGTCACTTCGGGTCTTCCGAGCTTAACTTCGTGTCTGACCTGATGTCTACACGAGCCAAGAATGGCCCTGAGTACGCCTCTTTCCCTTCCCTGCCGTGCAGCTGCTGTGCTGGCCCTGCGTCTTGCGTAAAACGCTTTCTCGCAGAGTCTTCTCTTGCGCTTACGTCGCAATCGCGTCGCAAGTGATTTTTTCTTAGGCTTTCTACCGCAGCCAACCCGTCGCAACGCCGTCGCAGAACAGTCGCTCGCTGCTTTGGTTTAAGAATGACGGTCGCCGAGGACTTAACCGGCAAGGCCGAAAATCTTTCCAGCAACGTGGTCTACAGCGAGTCAACGTATAACGGAACCCCCTGGGGCCCCCATAACGAGTACGAGCACCAGTACAAGCCTTCCCAGTCCCGCAGCGCGCAGCTGAAGCAGACGGCTCGTGAGGTCATGGATGCGACGAGGAGCGCGGCGCGAGAGGCGTGGGGAAGAGGCGCAGAAGGGTGCAGTGCGGTGGTTGACCGAGCCGTGGGTTGGGCGCGCGAAGGGGGGACGTGGCGGTGGGTTGTTCTAGGAACGGTAAGTTAGATTGCTCAATTTATGAAATAAATTTAGATTTAAATTTCCGACTTGTCTGCAAGGAGTCGTTCTGTTGCTTATATTTTCTCAGGGCTTGATTACCTTCTACATCTGAGTATCCTGTTCCTTCCTCCCCCTCCTCTCCTCCTCCCCACCCTCTGCCCCCCTTCTTCCTCTGCTTCATCCTCCTTTCTCCGGCCCCTTTCGCCTGAATTCCTTCCTTGTGATTCTGCTCGCTCCCACCTCCCTTACCATAATCTTCACAACCAAATTGTTCCCCATCAACACCTCACTCACCGCTCTCTTCCCACCTCTCTCTCCCCTCGTCTCACTGCCATCTCCCCAACATTCCCCCACAGACCGCCGCATCGCTCCTCTCTCTCGCCCTCTGCACAGCCGTGTCCCTCATAGTCACTGTAGCTCTCACCACTGCTGCTCTCATCGTCTGCTCTGCTTCTGCCATTGCGGCTGCTGCTCTCTTTCTCTTCCTCATGCTCTTCGGGGTTACTGCTGTGCTCTGTGTTGCTGCGTCTGCTGTGGCCTTCACTGCCATGGCTGTAGCTTCAGCAGCAATCACATGCATTCTCTTTGCTGCTGGTAAGGCTTTCTCTGCTTCTTATTCTTGTTGTTCTCGCTGCTGTTGTTCATGTTTTTATTCTTGCTCCTATAATTATCCTCATCCTCGTTTGTGTCCTTGTCCTTGTCCCTCCCCAATCAATCGCTCCTGTGAGATTTATTGTTATTGCCACGTTGTCTACCTCCCACAATCCCCCTTCCCCCTCTTTCCCACATGCTCTTTTTGCCCTTCTCCTTCCCCCAGGGACGGCCCTGTCAGCATGTGCATGGTGGTGGCTCCTCACACATGTCACCTCTGCCCTGCACTATTCTGCTGCCACCACCAAAAGCTACATCCTGCCAGCTCCCCACACTGCCACCCACGCTGGTGCCCGTGCACATGCTCAGAGGATTCCCCTAAAAGCTGGAGCAGCTGCTTCAGAGAAAGGTGTGCCGGCAGCAGCAGTGGGAGAAGAAAAAGACGACACCTCGCCTCCACCTGCAGCAGCAGCAGCAGCAACAGAGGCAGCAACAGTGGCAGCAGTGTCAGCAGCCGCAGCAGGAGCACTTGCGGAAATGCCATTGGGGTTACAGCCAATGTAGCACCAGCTAGAGTAGCGTAGGGGTTTTTTCCAATGTGGAACACATACAATACAAGTGGCTTGGTTCAATATGGTCATGCACTGATGTAGGGGTAGCAACCTATATGTTTGCTGCAACAGTAGAGCTTTGTGTCTGCAAACCTTGGGTAAAAACATTGTTTCACTGTCTTGCTAGGGTCTCTTTGTATATTATATGTAGTGTCCTTTTGTTGTGAATTGTGTTAGGCTACTGAACTATCCTAAACTGCTATCCAAGAATTTCAAAGCTGACAATCCGTAGCAGCAGTACACTGCTGCCAGCAGGCCAATTTCCTCCCTAGACTAGCTCCACATAGTATGTTATTCAATACCAACGAATCTGCACTGCAACCCCTGGAAATTCTTGTGAGGGAGCCCTCTACAAGGGAGCTCTATTAAGAACAAACAAGGAATGTCAACAAGTGGCAATAATTGGTGGGAGTCTGCACGCTGGGTTTGCGAGTTTCCAGGGAATTTCCTAAAGCTGTCAAGGCTAACAGCGGACAGCTTGCTAGGCTCGTCAAGGGTCGGCTGGCTTAGCAGCCATATCCAAAACAGCGTCAGCTGGGACCTGAAATCGGAAGCAGTGGTTGTGACAGAGAATTGGGAATTAAAAACTCTTGTTAATGCTATCAAAATTGGAACACATCATATTGGCGGTTGGCGAGCAGCAGCAGCATGGCAGAGACATAGGTGACACGCATAAAGATGGTTGGCAAGCAGAAGAACAGAGGCATAGAGCACATGGCACACCCGCACACTCACACACACCCATACAGCATAGCTTCGGGTGTACCACACACCACCACAGCCCACCACGACTCACTGACCAGCAGGCGGATGGCGAGCAGCAGCAGCACGGCAGAGACATAGGTGACCCCCATGAAGATGGTTCCTGCGACTGTGTTGGCGCCCAGCTTTGTGTTGTCCTTGTGCGGCACAAACGAGTTCTTGAGCGTGTTGGTCAGCTCAAAAAGCCGCAGGGATACCTGCAGACGGGGTGGGAGAGGGTAGGGGGGGCGGCAGGGGAGGTGAGGTGGTGAGAGAGGTACAAACACGTGCTTAGTGTGCATAGCCATGAGGCTGTGTTGTCCTTGTGCGGCACAAACGAGTTCTTGAGCGTGTTGGTCAGCTCAAACAGCCGCAGGGACACCAGGAAAAGCGGGAGGAGGGAGGAGGGGGGGTACGGAAGGGGAACAGGTGAGATGGAGGCACGGAGAGTGACTCGTGGGCATGACCATGCGTCAGAGTTGACTTTGAGCGGCATAAACAAGTTCTTGAGCGTATTGGTCAGCTCAAACAGCCGCACAGATACCTGAAGAGAGGGGGGAGGGGGGGGGGGGGGGGGGGGGGTGGGGGAGAGGGGAGGTGGAGGGAGAGAGAGTTTAGTGTGCATGGCCATGGGTCAATGCTGTCGTTACGTGGCACACACGAGTTGTTAATCGTGCTGGTCAGCTCAAAGGAGAAGGTACTATAAGTGAGATATCAGCTGAAACAGGCATAGGGACACCTGGTCGTGAATGGTTAAGGGCTTGGGAAATGAGGAGACGAGAGCAGGGATGAGCAGGAGTAAAGGTGGGGGAGAGAGGGGGGAAGTGTGCAATTAGCCAAGTCAGACGTGCATGCAGTAGGACTGAGACTCTAAGGGAATGGCATACGGTTGAGGTTCAGCAAGGGTTGACAGCCGAGGTTGTGATGCAGTCTAGGGGATATGAAAGGGATGCAATGCAACTTGGTGAGAGAATGGGAGGCGAGAGGGGCTGGGCGCGGGGTTCAGGGGGCACGGACAGGGCCAGGGGGCACGGGCAGGGAGCAAGGGGCAGAGAGAAGGGGACAGAGCGCAGACAGCAGCAGAGAGAGTGCAGAGTGCAGGGTGCAGGAGCGTGGGAGGCAGGGGGGAGGTGGGAGAGTGCAGGGGGCAGGGTGTGGGTGTGTGTGCGGGTGTGTACGAGGATGTAGATGGCGGTGGAGAGCATGAAGTTGACGAGGGGGGCAGGCAGGCAGGGATGCAGGGAGACAAGGGGGGTGCCTTGGGTGCAGGGTGCAAGGGACAGGGTGCAGAGATCAGGTGCGTACGAGGACGTAGATGGCAGTGGAGAGCATGAAGTTGACCAGGGGGTAGTCGCGCACAAAGCTCAGCAGCATGGCCGGCTGGCCGTTGGGCATGCCCGTCCTGGGAGGGGGAGAGAGAGGGGGAGGGGAGCGCGGGAGGAAAGAGAGGGAAGGAGTGAGGGGTTGAGAGTAGGCCGAGAGAGGAAACGCGAGTGTGTGGGAGAGGTAAGCATGGGAGGGGGGGGGGAAGGGGAGGGATTCAGGGTGTGAAGGGAAAGGGAACAGGAGTCGGAAAGGGAAGGAAGGGAACAATGGGTATGGAAATGGTTACCGGACTAGGGTTAGGGGACAAGAGCACGCAAGCAGACTCAAACAATCCCATACCGTACGGTACGAGAAAAACCGCGTTACAACATGGTACAATGTGGACGAGAAAGGTGCGGTAGAATCTGGTGCGGTGCGGTGTGGTACAGCCCGGTACCTGAGCCAGATGTGGAACTGGCCAATGTAGGTCTCAAGAGTGATCTTGCCCAGCCAGCCAAAGAGCGCCAGAGACCAGTTGCGCATAGGCTGGGTCAGATTGCGCAGTGCAATGTAGATGCTGCAGACATGGGGGGGTAGGGTAGGGTGGGGGTAAGAGGAAGAGGGGAAGGGGGAAGGGTCGATTGAGGGCGGGGCTCTTGAGAATTGTAGAAAGTGACTCGGATTTGTGAAGCGGCTGGGTCAGATTGTGCAGCGCAATGTAGATGCTGCAGGCATGGGTGGGTGGGTGGGTGGGTGGGTGGGTGGGTGGGTGGGTGGGTGGGTGGGTGGGTGGGTGGGTGGGTGGGTGGGTGGGTGGGTGGGTGGGTGGGTGGGTGGGTGGGTGGGTGGGTGGGTGGGTGGGTGGGTGGGTGGGTGGGTGGGTGGGTGGGGGTAGGAGGTTGAGGGGACGGGGGAGATGAGGGGGGGAACTGGGAGCAGGGGCGGGGGCATAGGCCGAGACAGGCCCGGGAGCAGGGTTGCGGGCGGGGGTGGGGAAGGGGGAGGGGGAGGAGTGAGGAGGGGAAGAATAGTGAGGATGGGAGGATCTGGTGTATTAAACATGTGTGAAGGCGATGTTGTGAACTGTGCCGTGGGATTGGACGTGAGTTGGTGGATGAAGCAGTGAGAAAGGTTGAAAGAGAGAGGGGGCGGGAGAGGAAAGAGTGAGAGTGAGTGAGAGTGAGAAGAGACTCACGTGATGGAAGGGGGAGTGAGAAACTCACGTGATGGGGATCCAGGACGTGTATGGATGGATGGCATTGTAGGCGAATTTGTCCAAGCAGTAGACGTTCACATACCACACATAGCCCACCTGCTCAGTCATTCGCAACCATGCATCCCGTCATGCATGCACACAGCATTGCCATGAGCACACGCACACAAACACCCATGCACAGACCCACAAGCACAAGGCAACATGAGGAAGAAACGGACATCTGTCAGCAGCAGCACGAGCAGCGTGTTCTGGAAAGTCTCAAAACCAGCAACATCATGAGCAGCAGGGGTTCTCTGACAGCCCGGAACCTCTCTCCACTCTCTCTCTCCCCCCCCCTCCCACAGCATTACACTCTCTTCACACTCTCTTTTGCATACAGGCTGCACCGGCCACACATCCCCACCCGCATACCCCCCCACTCCTTCCATGTGTACTAACATCTTTCAGTGTTCCCATCGCTTGGTATGTTCTCAATTCATAACATTTACGATTCATTCAATGTATCGACACTCAATTCCGTCATGTTCAGTGACCAGGGCAGGGTGTCAAACTGATATGGGGTACAGACAACGATGCACTCTGCATCTGATGCCCAACGGTGCAGCATGCATGGCACACGCTGCACACATGATGCATGCCATGGCATGGCATGGTATGGCATGGTATGGCATGGTATGGCATGGTATGGTATGGCATGGCATGGTATGGCATGGCATGGCATGGTATGGCATGGCATGGTATGGCATGGCATCCCCACATACCGACAGGCAGACGGCGACAATAGCAGCGCGGATGGCATTGCGGGTCATGTGGTGCATCTCCTCAAGCTTCTCGAGCCAGCGCTCGACGAGGGGGTGGAAGTAGGCGTAGATCATGCCCACGATCCAGATGTACCGGTCCAGCCCCGACCGGAAATGCCACTCATGCAGCAGCGGCAGGTCGGGCTTGCGCGGATCAATGTACCCTGGAAGGGGGGAGACAGGATACGAGGGGAACGGGGCAGGGGAGGGGAAGAGATGGGGAGGGCGTGGGGGGGGAGGGGGGGGATGGGGGGGGAGAGGATGGGGGAAGGGTTTCGTTTTTAAGGGGATGGGGCATGAGCGGGGACGGCAGGGGAGAGGGCTGGGGAGGAGGGTGGGTGGGGAGAGAAAGGTATCGTTAGGAGTAGAAGGCAAGAATGGAAGCGTGAGGCGAGGTACCCTGAGAGGGTGGGTGGGGCCAGGAGGCAACGCCAAGCCACCAAGGGGAGACAAGGTGGGGGAAACGAAAGGGGAGGAAGGGAGGGAGGGGTGGGAGGGCGGAGGCGGATAGCGGGGTGGGAGGGGGGAAAGTTGACAGGGAAAGGAATGCGAGGTAAAGGGGTTGCCTGTGACAAACCTCTGACGCCCCTCTCCCACCTTCCCCCTTTTCTTCCCTACCCGCTCCACTCCATCCCCCTACTCACCCCTCCTTTCCCACACTTCTTCCTCACACCCTCCATACTCCTTCCCCCAACCTTTCCCCAGCGCCCCTCTCAATCGTTCCCCTAGAAAACGCGCCACTCTCCCACTCACTCACCCATGAGGAACGTGAAGGGCCCCCACACGAACTCGAACACGCCCTGCACCTCCCAGAGCAGGAACACCACCACAAAGCACAGCGCAATCTTCATGCCGATGACGGCGGGCAGCTCGTTGTACTTGCTGTAGATGCCGAGCGCGGCGTAGACCATGACGGTGAAGAGCGTGTGCATGGGGCAGATGTAGTACAGCATGTAGTCGTTTGTCAGCGCCAGGCAGCAGAAGAACACCAGGAAGTTGAGCCGCCACATCATCTGGAGGGGGGTGGAGGGGAGGGGGTGTGGGAGCGCAGGGATGGGGGGAGGGGGAGGGCGGGCGGGAGGATGGGAGTTGGAAAAGGGGTGGAGAAGGAGTGGGAAGTTGA